TTCATTTAATTTTAATTTAATAAAAAATGTTTTTAAGTTTATTTATTTTTGAGAGAGAAACGGAGCACGAGTGGGGGAGGGGCAAAGAGAGAGAGGAAGACACAGAATCCGAAGCAGGCTCCAGGCTCTGAGCTGTCAGCACAGAGCCGGACACAGGGCTCAAACTCACAAACTGTGAGATCATCACCTGAGCTGAAGTCAGATGCCTAACCAACTGAGCCACCCAGGCGCCCCTCGAGAAATGTATTTCTTAAATAATAACACTTCAGAGTTGAAATTACTTCTTGATCCATGGGCTTCAGCACGGATGATGTATTAGCAAAACAATGTGAATCTCATTGTATATCTGCATCAGAGCTCTTGGGTGACCGGGTACATTGTCAATGAGCAGTAATATTTTGAAAGGAATCTTTTTTCTGAGTAGTAGGTCTCAACAGTGGGCTTAACATATTCAGTAAACAGGGGTGGCTGGGTGACTCAGTCAGTTGAGTGTCCAAATTTGGCTTAGGTCCCGATCTCCTAGCTTGTGGGTTCTTATGGGCTCGAGCCCTACATCAGGCTCACTGCTGTCAGCACAGAGCCCACTTCGGATCCCCTGTCTCCCTCTCTTTCTGCCCCTCCCCCACTTGTGGTCACTCGCTCGCTCTCTCTCTCTCTCTAAAAAATAAACATTAAAAAATCTATATTCAGTAAACCACATTGTAAACTTATGTGCTTTCATCCAGGCTTTGTTTTTCCATTTATAGAGCACAGGCAGAGTAGATTTGGCATAGTTTTTAAGGATTTTTGGAACAAAAATGAGCATTGGCTCCAACTTCAAGTCACCAGCTGCATTAGCCCCTAACGAGAGAGTCAGCCTGTCCTTTGAAGCTTCAGAGCTGATCATTGACTTTTCCTCTCTAGCTATGAAAGTCCTAGATGCCATCTTCTTCCAATAGGAGGCTGTTTCATCTACGTTGAAAATCTGTTGTTCAGCGGAGCCACCTTCATCAGTTACCATAGCTAGATCTTCTGGAAGGCTTGCTGCAGCTTCTACATCAGCACTTGCTGCCTCACCTTGCACTTCAATGCTATGGAGATGGAGTCTTTCCCTAAACCTCATAAACCAACCTTTACCAGCTTCAGACTTTCCTTCTGCAGCTTCCTCCCCTCTCTCAGCCTTCATAGAAATGAAGAGAGCCAGGGCCTTGATCTGGATTAGGCTCTGGCTTAAGGGAATGTCGCGGCAGGTTTGATCTCCTCTCCAGACCACTCAAACTTTCTCCATATCCGCAATAAGGCTATTTTGCCTCTTATTATTCATGTGCTCACTGGAGTAGCACTTTTCAATTTCCTTCGACAACTTTTCCTTTGCATTCACGACTTGGCTAACTGGCACAACAGGCCTAGCTTTCGGCCCATCTCAGCTGTTGGCAAGCCTTCCTCACTGAGCTCAATCATTTCTAGCTTTTGATTTAAAGCGAGAAACATTTGGCTCTTCCTTTCACTTGGACACTTAGAGGCCATTGTAGGGTTATAAATTGGCCTCGTTCCAATATTGTTTCCTGTGTCTCAGGGAATAGCAGAGCCTGAGGAGAAAGAGAGGAAGCAGCTGGTTCATAGAGCAGTCAGAACACACACATTTTTCAATCAAGTTTGCTGTCTTATATGAGCGTGGTTCGTGACACCTCAAAACAATTACAATAACAACATCAAAGATCATCGATCACACATCACCATAACAAATATAATAATAGTGAAAAGACTCAAGCTATTGCAAGAATTACCAAAATGGGACACAGAGACCAGAAGTAAACAAATGTTGGAAAAATGGTGCGGACAGGCTTGCTTGACGCGGTGCTGCCCCAACCTTTCAACCTGTAAAAATTCAATCTCTGCAAAGTGCAATAGAGCCAAGTTCAATAAAATGATGCGTGCCTGTATGTCAAAAATAAAACTCTTGGTTTTCTGAAATCTGTCTTTCTAATCTTCCTTTTTGCTGGAAATGATACCACTATCCACATAGCGGGTATATTTCTTCCTTTCCCTTTCCACCTTCTAAATCCAATCCATCCCTAAATCCTGTTGACTCTCTCTCTAAAACATGTCCTGAATCTATCTGTCCACTTCTCTCACTGCAACATTTTGATTTATTTTTTAAAGCTTATTTATTTGGAGAGAGAGAGAGTATGTGTGTGAGCAGGGGAGGGGGCCGGGGAGGGGCAGGGAGAGGGAGAGAATCACAAACAGATTCCACGCTGTCAGTGCAGAGCCCAACGTGGGGACTCGAACCCACAAACCGTGAGACCATGACCTGAGCCAAAACCAGGCGCTTAACCAACTGAGCCACCCAGGCACCCCTCCCTCACCGTAACATTTTAATGGTCACTTCTTACCTGGAGGACTGAAATAGCCTTCTCACGGCTCTATGCATTTATGCTGCCCCCCTACGGTCTATTGTCCTCATAGCACCCAGACAAATCTTAAAAATACAAACCTGACACTCGTCTGCTTAAAAACTGTCAATGGCCTCTTCCCCATTATACTACATACATTGTCCTTTGGAAAAAGAAACCCATGTCCATACCAGGGTCTATACATCTGGCCCCAGCCACCTCCGGCTGACCTCTCTCCTTGCCTCCATCTTGCTAAGCTCCAACTATAGTAGCTTCTTCTTCATTCTTAAACATGCCAAGCTCTATTCTACTTCAGGCTGTTCAGCTTTCCCTCTGCCCAGAACATTCTTGGCTAAGTCATATGGCTAAGTTCTTCTTGACCTTGACATCTTGGCACCTCCTCAGAAAACTGTTCCTTGGCCTTCTCTACCCAGGTGACTCCCCTTACCTTCTCCTGCACCCCAACATTGTTCTCTATCCCTGCAGTACGTCTCATCATTCATAGTCCTTGCTATTTGACTATCTTTGTTACTAGACTTTTGGCTTCACGAGCTCAGGATTCACATCAGTTTTACGCACCTAGTGCCTAAGCCAGAACCTGGTACATAGTGAATACTCAGTAAGGATCTGTTGAAAGAATGGATCAATTCACCCTGAACTGGGTAACGAGGATACAGAGACAACCAAGATATGGTCCTTCTATTCCATAATGCTATATAGTCTGATGGATGAAAAATGTGTAAATAGGCAATTACAAAACTGGTAATACATTGGAGATCAGAACCGGAACACACAGAGGCCCAAAGCCCAGGGTGGGGTTATGTATGTGAGTAGAAGGGATGCTGTGTTTACATGATGCTGTGTTTACAAATCCACCAGCATTTCCCTAATAAGAAACACAGTTTTTCTTTCTAATAATGAACATTTACCTAGTGTACCAACCTCCATGTACTGTTTCTGGTCTGTTTATTTTGTTGTTAATGTGACCAAAGTAGTACAGCTTCTAAGCGATAGAGCTGGGATTCAAAACCATGCAGTCTAGCTCCTGAGCCTACAAAGGCTACATTTTTTTTAAATGATTTAAGGTGAAATTCACATAATATAAAATTAAACATTTTAAAGTGAACAATTCAGTGGCAATTAGTACATTCACAATGTTATACAATCACTCCCTCTATCTAGTTCCAAAACATTTCCATCACTCCAAACTAAAACACCAAACTTATTAAGTAGCTTCCCGTTACCTTCCAGGTACTGTTTTTGATCCTCACAATGATCTGGTTGTACAATTGAGGAAAGTGAGGCCCTGAGAAGTTCAGTGGTAAGTCCAACGTTATATAACTAGTAAATGTGGGACAGGGATTTTGAACCATACTTAGTTTTCTGACCCCAGAGCCTAAACCTTTGATTAACACGCATCTTTGGGCAGCCCCCCCAAGAAAGGGGCTGCATTTGGGTTTCAGAGACAGTAAATTTTGTTGGGCCAAGGATTTAGAAACTATAAGTGCGTCCTCAATTGTTAAAAAATGCACGTTGAAGGGAAACTGCAATTAGTACTGTATAGGTGGTTGGCAGAACCAAAAATAATCTAAGTCCAGGAGCATCTACGGGGCAGGCACTTGGAAAGGTCAGTATTGCAGGAAGTTTTGCCAAAGTCTCAAGAACAAGAAGTTCATAATTCCTTGGGCAGCCCCTATGTGTGCCAAGCTGAAAGCTGAAGAGAGGCAGAGTAGCCAGGAGGGTGTGGCTTGCCTTGGGGGGTGGGGTGGGGGTGGGGAGGGGGCAGGGGCAGCCGGGAAAGCCCAGCTGGTTGTCTGCAAGAGAAGCTGGGGTGCAACTGGGAACACAAAGTAGGAAGCAGGCCTTGGGCCAATTGCATCGCACTCTGAGGGAGGCCACCAGAGCGGAAAGACTGTAAGGGGTGGAGAGCCTCGCCTTAGTATTCTTCTACTTCGTCCCGGAGCGGCTGTCATCACTCTAGCATCCCTCTTTCTCAACACAGGGATCCTGTTTCTGGGGCTTCCCCCTTTCTCTCTGGAGGTCAACGATCCTACAGTCCCCCCCTTTAGGACTTGGGACAGAGGCACCCCCATGCTTGCTTTTCTATGGCTATTTTCCTCCCAGTGTAAAGGGGCCTGTCCAGATGGATGGAGTTTCCTCTGCCACAAGGCCCCCCACCTCAGGCTCGGATCTGCTCGGGAGTTCCCACTCACGTGCAGTTTCTGGGTGCAAATCGCACCTACTCCTGGTAGAGACGGCAGTCTCATGGAAACCCAAAGATCACAAATCTGCCATAGGTATCGAGAGGTGCAGTTGCGGATCGCACTGGGGAGAGGCGAGCTGAGGGCGGGTTAAAGAAGCGGAGGAGCCTGGAGTCTTTAATGTCCCCGGCGGGAAGGTACCTCCCAGGTGGGAGGCCCCCCAAGTGCGTGACTGCGCTTACAGGATCGAGTACCGCGCGCGTCATAGTATGTACCTGTGTCTAGTCGAATCAGAATTGTCCCAAGCTCCGCAGGTGTTCTGCCCTTGTGCTTGATGGATGCCGTCGGTGAAATGAACAGTGAGCAGCACCCAGGTGCCGCCGCGCTCTGCCCGACACGAGACTGCCGGTTGCCTTTGCTGCAGCTTCCTGCAGCCTGCCTGTTGCCGTTGCCGCTGCCGTTGCCGTCGCCGCCGCCAGCTTGTCCCTTAGATCACTGTCAGATAAAGCGGTGGGCTGGTCGGCTGGCGGTAGGCGTGGCCCGGCTGGATTATGAGGTGTGAGTGCTCTTTACGCCTGCACCAGTGCCACCATACTGAGGGCGCTGTCTCAGGCAGCAGCTGTGCAAGGTGCGTGGCTGCGGTGGCCGGAGTTGGGACGCCAGAGGTCTCCGTCTGAGCCCCTGAAACAGGGGACACTGCCCGGAGAATCCCCTCTTCGGCAGGTAAGTGCAGAAAGGCCTGCCTAGTTGAGGCGTGCCGCACTGCCTGCTGGGGGCCGGGGCGGGGGCACGGGAGTCCCGGGCGCCGTCCAGGCCCCCGCGGCAGGCGTGTCCGGGTGCTTAGCAACCGCGAGGGATTGTTCTCGGACCCCGTAAGGTCTGGGGAGGGGACAGCGGGTCCCCGGCCTGACCCGGACCAGCCGTACCGAGCTCCCTCTTGGGCTGGCTTCCCCGCCGCTGGTTGCACACTGAGGGACCGCCTGCCTTGCCTGGGGACTGAACTCCAGAGTTGGGTGCTGCCTAGGACGAGAGTCTCCAACTCGGGCGCCTCACGGGCACTTTCCGGCCAGTCTGAGAGACGGAGGTAGCGAGGCTTTATAGAAAAGCCCCCCAAATTAAGCGCACGAAGCAAAAGGATTTTTCAGCATCCAGTTGGTGACCTTCGATCCTGGCCCTAATCAGCTACTATTCAGTTTTTACCCTTGAAGGCCCAAGTTCTTTTTTTTTTTTTTCGTTTGAGTTGTTTGCATCCTGCTTTGCCTTTTTAAATTAATAGAAGTGCTGTGAGGTGACAGTTAAAAGTCACGAGGCCGTCCTGCGAGCGATTTGAGATAGTCTCAGATAATCCAGAGTTTGTCTCTGGTATGGGTAACTCGTAATTGTATGTCACCGTTGCCTCAAATGGCTATGACTTTGTCACTCTGTTTACTGGGTAGGAGAGAACGCAAGTGTTTGGGTGCCTTTATTTTTTTGGTCTTTATATAAATAAAAATATATATACATTTGAGATATATATATACTGACTTTAAGGAAGTTTCATATAGGTCAGCAATAATGATTTTAACTTAGCATTTCATTTCACAAGTGAACCTGGTCAAAAATCAAACAGTGGAAGTGGCAGAACCGGAACTAGAATCCAGGGCTTCTGATTCCCAGTCTGAGACTTATTCATACATACTTTGGTTTTACAATTTATGACTAGTTCCATATAAATTCTTTCTTAACTTCCACATCAGTGCAGGGCAGTGATGCCAGTATTACAGAAGAGAAAAATAAGGCACAGAAAGTTCAAGTGACTCACTCAAGCACAGTGGCTATGCTGGGAATAGTACCCAGGTCTTCTGCCTCCTACTGAAGGCTGTTTCCATTTCTGACTGCCTTTTAAATTATATCCTCATTTCATTTCAGGAATGTCGGATTGCACACCCTGTTGTGAAGTGCACCTACTGTAGGACTGAGTACCAGCAGGAGAGGTACAGTTTTTATTGACCACGAAAGATGTTTGCAGGCTTTTTCCTCTTAATTAGTTGCTGTTCAATGTACAGATCTGTAATTGATTGCATTATACCCCGGATTCTGCAGGGTTTTTTTTTTTATTATAACACATTGATGAATATAAAACGCACATATTGTTCCCTCGTTATCCATGGATTGCTTAAAATTTTTTCATGACTTTTTAAAGTAATCTCTGCACCCAACAGGGGCTCGAACTCACAACCCCAAGACTGAGTCGAACGCTCCACTGACTGAGCCAGCCAGGTGCCCCTTGCTTAAGTTTTTAAAGTTACTTTTCCGATCCTTGATCATTTTATATTGTGGTTATGATCTTTATGACACTAAGAAACCACAATTGTAAAACATGAGCCTTAGGTTTCAGTATGCTTATACTCAAAGCTTGAAGAATTTATAAGCCAAAAGAAGACACTTTTGGAAATGTGCCTATTCTGATAAAGGGTTTGTTAGCCTTAGCCACATTTGAAATTTACTCGCCTTATGTAAATCTCATTTTTAAAAATGTGAAAAACATTTAGTTGTAAGTGAACACATATCTTTGGGAGACTTTTTTAACAGCAGCAGAGTGGTTTATTGGTTTTCAATAGCAGCAAAGTTGTTTATGGGTATAGTTAAGTTCTGTGGGCCTGCAACTGTAGGTCATAGTTCCTTAAAGCAGGGTGGGGTCTATTTGTTAGCTCACACATAGACCTAGAAACCTAATTTTAATCAGCCTTATTTCAATTCTGGGAACATTTTCCGCAACATTTTATTATGGATATTTTCAAACCAGAAAAAGTTGAAAGAATTAAACAGTAAACACTCATATACCTACCACTTCGATTCTACAGTTTACATTTACTTTATGTGCATCATCTATCAACAATGTATTTTTTTTAATTTGAGAGAGAGAGTGAGCGGGGGAGAGGGGCAGAGGGAGAGAGAGAATTCCAAGCGGGCTCTATGTGCAGTGCGGATCCCTATGCAGGGCTTGATCTCAAGACCCTGGGACTGTGATCTGAGCTGAAATCAAGATTTGGGTGCTCAACCAATTGAACCACCCAGGCGCCCCTTCAGTGTATTAATCCATCTTATTTACGATTCATTTTAAAGTTGTGGACATCAGTATACTTGATCCTAAATACTTAAGCATGCATTTCGTTAACAAAGTTTGATATTTGTTTACGGTCCTTTATTTTTTTAGAGGTAAAATTTGTGCACAGTGAAATGCTCAAATCTTAAGTACATCATTCGATGAGTTTCACAAACAGTATATGGATCTGTAACCCTCAACCCTTTAAAATATAGAACATTACCGTCAGCCCAGAGTCCTCTCATGCTTCATCCCACTCAATCTCCACTCTTCTTGCTTCCCCCGTGCAACTACTGTTCTGATTTTCCTTCCCACCGTAGATCAGTTTTCCCTGTTTTAGCCCTTCATAGATATGGAATCATATAAAACATAATCTAGAAGCTTTATGTTTCAGCTTTTATATTTGGGTCCATGATCCACCTTGAATTAATTTTTGGGTGTAGGGTGAGATATGAATTTACACCATACATAAAAATTGATTCAAGATGGAGGCACCTGGCTGGTTCGGTTGTTGGAGCACGCAACTCTTGATCTCGGGGTTGTAAGTTCAAGCTGCAGGTTGGGTGTAGACATGACTTAAAAAAATAAAATCTTAAAAAAAAAATGATTGAAGATGGATCATAGGAGTGGTTTTCCTTTTTTTCTAAAGTTTATTTATTTATCTTGAGAGAGAGAGCACAAGTCGAAGAGGGGCAGAGAGAGGGAGAGAGAGAATCCGAAGCAGGCTGTGGCGCAGTCGGTGTGCAGAGTCTGACGTGGGGCTTGAATCCAAGAAACCGCGAGATTATGAAGTGAGCTGAAATCAAGAGCCAGACACGTGACTGAGCCACCTGCGTGCTCCGAAATGACTTTTCTTTGTTTTCCAAGATGTCAGGAGCATTTGTATATATTGATACATATAAATCCCACTTCTTCAGTAATAAATATAAGTATAAACTAAAAGTTCAACATTCCAGAATCACCGATGTGAATCCTTTTTCTAGAGGTTTCTTTCGATATGCCTCACATCTTGTCCTGTCTCTTTAAAATGGCAGAAAATACGCCTGGGTGGCGCAGTCGGTTAAGCGTCCGACTTCAGCCAGGTCACGATCTCGCGGTCCGTGTGTGCGAGCCCCCCCGTCAGGCTCTGGGCTGATGGCTCAGAGCCTGGAGCCTGTTTCCGATTCTGTGTCTCCCTCTCTCTCTGCCCCTCCCCCGTTCATGCTCTGTCTCTCTCTGTCCCAAAAATAAATAAACGTTGAAAAAAAAAATTTAAAATGGCAGAAAATGGAAAATATTTTACTTGAATATCTCACTTTAATTTAAATGTTTTGTACTTTGAGGTCTTTCTTTGTTTTAACTTTATGGTCACTTTTATAGGACTTTATGGGAAAATAATCACAAAATAGCTAATAAGACTGCATTTTTATGTGATTTTATTTTCAGCCCCAGAATATTGTTTTAACTATTCTTGCACATCAAGCATTTATTGTACCTCCCTTTGTGAAGAATTAGACTTTATTTGAAGATGATTTTTTTCCCCTAAGGCAGTTTATCAGCTCAGATATTTAGACAATACAGGTCTCTGGACCTTCACAAGACCGAAGACGTTTTTATTTTTATCAGTGCTTAGTTCTTAGAGAAATTGGAAATATTGACAAAATATTTAGTCATAGCATCCATTTCCCCACATCTGGGATTTTCATATGCTTTTACTTACAGAGGAGGGTGTAGACAGAGTAAAGTCAACATGAATCTCTGAGTTAGTATTCCAAACGCATATACTTCATTCCTCACCTCAAGTTTCTCAGCTGTTCATCTAAACTGAGAATTAACTGCTAGTCCATTTCAGTCTAACATAATATTCTTTTGAGGGTCCTGTCCATATTTGCTAGTTTTGTTTAGTGATACTTAGAGATGTGATACTCAGAAAAAACTCACTGTCCACTTTAACCAAAACCTCATTTTATCTGAGCTAATAAAATTAATAACCATAAAATAATTAATAAATAAAAGAGTTAGTGGCCAAATACTTAACTTTCAGTTAACCAGGTGTCCAGGCCAAATATCACCTTGGCACTTAGCAATGAGCAAATTCTGTGGGCTTAAGGAGGAATCAGTTTTCAGATATTGTAAGTGAAGCAACTTTTTTCTCATAAAAGCATTGTGTCTCTTTTTTCCTTAACAGTAAAACCAATACAATATGCAAGAAGTGTGCACAGAATGTGCAGTTATATGGAACAGTAAGTAGAGTTTCTCTGTACCTAACAGTGAGTACTTGGGTCTCTTGGAACCTTAACATTCTGTGGATTATTTATATAACTACCATATTTTTATTAGAATATCTTATGTGTAAATAGTTTCTCAGAAAAGTTTATCTAGCCCTTGAGCTTTTGAACCTAGCTAATACTTACTGAGAAGTTCTGTGTTTATGTTCATGATGGCGGGATTGTCGTTATAATTTTCCTTGAGAGCTTCGGAAACCAGTATGGAAAGAGGATGGGAAAGATGGACCCTACAATGTGACGTCTTTGTTTGGTAGCAGTTGACTGTTCGTTTTGATGACTTTTTTAGGGGGGAGGGGGTCTCTCTGTGTTAGGGTTCTATGTTATGTCCTTGCAGGCATTCTCCCAGCCTGTTTATACGGTGATAATGGCAAAGAGGCCTTTCTAGAAATTTGGAAGCACTTACTGGTTTCTCCAAAGAACTGGTTCTGTTGAATTTCTTACAGAAGTCCCAGCATATACTCTAGTGGGGTTTTGTTATTTGTTAATTTATTTGTTTTAAAATCAATAGTCCTGTGCAGAAAATCACTTTACATAGTATTAGGAATTGGGCTTCATTTGATCAGTGTAGAAGGAAATTTATGAAGTTGGGAATACATTTTTACAATGACTGATGAACTGTATAATAGGAATTATTGCTTTAAAAAATGCAGTGGTATTTTATAATATACTTAGTTGACCCTTTTTTTCCCCCTCTCTTTCAGCCCAAACCTTGTCAGTATTGCAACATAATTGCAGCATTTATCGGCAACAAATGCCAGCGCTGCACAAATTCAGAGAAGAAGTATGGACCACCCTATTCATGTGAACAGTGTAAGCAGCAATGTGCATTTGACAGGAAGGATGATCGAAAGAAGGTAAATCTCTGTGTTTTGTTTTGTTGATTTTTTTTTTTTT